GAGGGTGTTCGGGTTTGCGGAAAAGATTTACTATTCGAATCAATCGATCCGAATACAAGTGAGATGTGGATGTAACCACTCATTTTTTAAAAATAGTATGAACTTCTGGAGAATGCGTTTATTCTTGCAGCGCCCAGGACAGACCCAACACTCAATAAGGGATATATGAAGGGATGATTGGACGTTCACTGCCGTCCATTACATCTTTTATGTCTGTTAATTTCTGCAGATAACTCTTAATTTCTATACTTTCTACATACCTCGCACGGTTGTTGGCAAATTGTAGAGTGTTCTGCGAATTCAGGACTTTATTGCGTTTGTTACGACTCACTTTGTTTCGTACTGATGATGTTGGCTAACTCTGATAATTAGTACTTTCTGTGTTTTAGGAATTATTTTAAGCATTGTGTGAAGTAATTTACTTTTCTAGCATCTGCACAAGGAATATACTGTTGTAGTTCACTTTACAAAGGGGGAAACTGAGGAACAGGAAAGTTAAGTGACATACCCATAGAATTGGCCTCAGAACCTGTATTTATAATCAAATCTCTAGAACAACGATAACTCTCTGGTCAAGTCCTAGACATGTTGTTTATTGCATTCCATCCACTGCATTTTGGATATCTGATTTATTACCAACACACTTGTATCTGCTCCACTAAAATTCTCTAGGTGTGGTCAACAATAACTTTTGTGCAACATGCTCAGATTATATAGTATAGTAAACACTTGTATGTCCACACACTAGCTTGAGAAATGAAACGTTACCATTCCTGTTGAAGAGCCCAATGTAATCACCCTCCCTAACACAACTACTCTCTAATGATCCGAGATAACAGTCTTCTGTACCTAGTATTCACCAATGAAATGTATGTCTTTATGTTTTGGCTACATATATAAGTTAACAGCATATAACATTCTACTATGTTTTCTTCTGCTACTTTATTTATTGTTACCTTTGCTAGGTTCATCATGTTGAAATATAGAGCAGTTCGTTTATTTTCCCTGCTAGATGGGATTTCTAGGTAGAAACACTATAATAATTTGTCTATTTTTCTGTTAATGAAAATTTAAATTGTTTACAATTTTCACTGTTTCTTTGTTGCTATGTTATTTTTAAGTCCTCAACATAATTTCATGTAGTTGTCCATTACCTTCTTAAAAGTCCCTTCTCCCTGTTTTGTGTGAAGCCATCTGATTTTTTTTTCACCTAATTCCTTATTCTCAGACTCACTCTTGGGCTTCTCACTGCCTTCAGGATCAGATCTGTGTTTCTTAGCTTGTCATATAGGCTTCTTCATAATTTAAATACCTCTGTTGTCTAATTTTTTGCTACATCTCTGCTTATTCTCTAGGTACATGGAACTTCCTGATGTTTCTGATGTTTTATCATTCCTTCCTGGGCCTTTACACATGCTGCTCTATTACTTAGTGGACTAACTTCAATTCTTTTTCCCAATGTTGCTTTGGGGGAAACTTCCCTCAAACGTCTTTTTCCTGAACCCTTATTTCTCCTTCTCTGCTTTTTAGTTTCTCACTGCTCTGCTTCCCAACATCCTTGTATATTAACACTTAGTACATCCAATTATGAGCTCTTTTTAGATGATTTTCCTTCCATAGTCTGTGAGCCCTTTGAAGATGAGGACCATATCTCACCCATGCATATATTCCCTATACCTAGCACAGTGAGGCACAGAGGAAGTGCTGAATAATGACTAACTCTTGGAACATTTTCCTCTATTTTCCCTATAAAACATCACCAGCACCTTGTGGCTGCTGCTTACGAGTGCAGCTCAAGGAAGCCATCATCATTTAACACATTAATTTAACATGTATTTTTCTTGAGCTTACTTATAATCAATGTGGCAAGAATTCTTTCAAGTCTTGCCTGATAATCTCTTCTCTACTTCAATTAAATTGTGGCTTTATAGTGGCTTCAGTTCTCTTTTCAGCATCTGATGGGTTCATCCACATTCTTCCCTGAACACCTTGATGAAAACTGTCTTTGAATAGCACTGCTGGGATCCTCTGACAAGCCATACTCACACCTAGCCCAAGACAAAATGCCTTGGCTTCCCTGCAGGTATGTGACTTGGGAAGGACATGCTACTCAGCAGGGTAAGAGATGGACTCTCCTCCTTCAGAGGATCTGGTGAATGATGTTTGACTAGAATACAATTAAACAGTATCATTTAACCTCTTATTCACTGTACTCTGCCCAATAAATCCAGGCAACATTAAACCTAGATTTCCTAGCCAACTAACATTTCCAGTAAACCACACTGCTAATGCCATCTTCTTGACTCTAACATTCATCTTCTCTGTATCTGCTTCCAGAGCAGTGAGTTTGTTGGGTCTCATCACAGAGCAGTATCAGCCTGACCCACAACATAAGCTGCCTTATTTTAACTGACATGTGTTCCCATTTCTTTTTCCTACTCCCTTGCTTATGACCATTCCTAGTGGCTGTTCCAATTCTCCACTCTTTTCATGCTGCCACTACTATGTTCCATTCTGTGCCCCTTTCCTCTCACCTGAAAGGGACACCTCTTATTTCTCCAGGAAAGTAAGCTTTCAAATACAAGGTTTCCTTGCTTTCTTCTTCTAATTGCAGCTGTCTTCTAATCCATGCTCCATAATGCAGCCACTGTTACCTCCTCTTCAAATCCTTCTGTGACGTCCCATTGCTCTCAGGATGAAGATAAAACTCAATGATCTTAAACAGAGCTCAACTCAATGGGGAGTCCACAGACTGGCTGCTGGTTAAGAACTGTTACTGTTCTGATAAAACAAGGAACTTTTATTAAACATACTGTTTAGATCAGCAGGCATTTTGTTTTTCAGAACAAGACTTTATTGATGAAAAAAGCAGTGTGCTGAGTCTAGAACAAACTCCTTCTCTCAGTGTACACTGTCACTTTGAGTAGTACTAGTCTGCAGGGTGTTGCATCCTTTGAATATGATGGAGTATGATCCCTGCAGCCTTGTCTTGTACCCCGGGCCCTTTCATTCTCAGTAGTCCAGCCCACAGTGGCCTCCTTTCAGGCCTGCATGCTTAAAATGGGTCACTGTCCAAACTGTTCCCTCAGTATGAAATGTCCTTCCCTTCAATCTGCACCTACTTAACACCTCCTTTTCATGTCAACTCATTTGTAAAGGAAGCATTTCCTTCCACCCTAATTCATCAAATCCCTCATCATAGGCTCTCACAATACCATATATCTCTTGTTCATAGCCTTCATCATTTTTCACATCCATTTTAAGATACCTGTTTACCATATGGTCCACGAAGAAGGGCTCACTTCTGTTCTGCTTACTCTTGCATCCCCAGAAAATGAGCACAGTTCCTGGCAATATTTGATAAATGAACAAATGAATCTACTCAACCAACAACCAAGATTTGACAGTTTATCCTTTATAGCATTTTTCATACTCTGCCCTTCCTTCTGCTTGCATTGCCGCTACTTCAGTCCCAATATTTATTATTTTACACCTGGATCACATGATTGCTTCAGAGAATAGCATGTCTTCCTATATTCAGGCTCTTCCTAAATCCCTTATTATACCTCCCAAGGTTCTTTGATCATGCCATTTTTCTGTTCCAAAACCTTTCGTGACACCCATTGTCAACAGAATATAGCCCAAACTTTTGATTTTGATATCCTAAACCTTCCATAATCTGACTTCACTGTACTTTACCTAGTCAATCCAGGCAACTTACATTTCCAGTAAACCACAGTGCTAATGCCATCTTCTTGATTCTAACATTCATCTTCTCTGCATCTGCTTCCAGAGTGGCGAGTTTGTTAGGTTTCATCACAGAGCAATGTCAGCCAGGCCAACAACATAAGCTGCCTTATTTTAACTGACATGTGTTCCCATTTCTTTTTCCTACTCCCTTGCTTATGGCCATTCCCAATGGCTGTTCCAATTCTCCTCCACACTTTTCATGTTGCCACTACATTCCATTCTATGCCAGGCTCTGCCGGCATTGTGTCTCCATGGGCCAAAACACATCACAGGTATAAGCTGTATTCGCAAGATATGCAGATATTTAAAGTTGAGTGAACTTACAGAATAATACTGCACCTTGGACAGTGTTACCAAGGCATTTTCAAAGGCATTGTAAACTTGATAAACTTCATGTAAACTTTTTCACTGTTGGGAAAGAGAGATATACTCTGATTTTTAAGCTTTGGGTATCTCATGGGTCTAAATATCTCACCACCTTTGTTCTTTTCCAATTCTGCCAATTATAATATTATATATTCTTCTAGTTACCACCCTTATCCCTTCTTCTCTGGAAACCTTTACTGTGAGTCCAAGAAAGTGGTGGTCGATTCTCTTCTCTTCTCTGAGCTTGCAAATGGTTTAATAGAACACATATGAAATGGCTGCGAGGCATCTGTCTTATTGCTCCCTCTGGAATCTAAACTCACTGATAGCTGAAATATCTGTATTCTGTTCAGTCTTCAGCACAGTGTTATACACATAGTCAATCTGATAAGTAAATATTTGGTGAATGAATGAGCCTCTGTGAGAAGGTATTCTCTGGCTCTTTCTCTCTTTTTTCACTTTCAAAGATCTGTAGGGAGGACTATGTTTAGACAGTGTCTACTTCATAGCAACACGATGCCCAAGCTCACAGAGAGTTGCAAATAGCTGCTAAGAACATACCCCCACCACTTTAGAACAGCTTGTTCTCCCTTTCAAGTAGAGAGGGCAAGA